AAAAAAAAAAAAAGAGAGAGAGATGTTCCGATTCTTTAATTTACAATGAAAAACTGGTGGAAGCCATGGGAAATACCTGCAGCTATTGCCTATTTCAATAAGTTTCAGAACATCCTCAACGCATTTGACTTCCCGTTCCTGTAATCCCACCACTTGAACTTGCTGTTTACCGTCTTCTAACACTCTCAATTTTGTCTTCCTGTTCAACAAGTCAAAAACCTTAGGGAAGAGGAGGGAAAAGAAACCAAATAGTTAAAACAAAGGAGCTTTAACTCATTTTATTTCAAAACCAATATCAAAATATTGCAAAGCATTCCATGCAAAGACACAACTGGAAAACACAAGAAGTTTTTATATGACATGCTCACAATCCTTCTTTGCAACAAAGAAATTTCTCCTTCCTCAGAAAAAGGCCAAGTACTTACCTTACCACTGTAGATCTCAAAAAATGTTGCATATACTTGAAGTTCTAACTTCTTATAATTTGGCTTCTTTAGCATTAAAAACACATCTCGAGCTGTGAATATATTTACAAAATTAAAAAAAAAAATCTTGTTATGTATTTTCACTTACAGGGTCATTCCTACATAATACCCTATTTTACAACCTCTCTCATATTTTGCAGTAAAACTTGTAGTGTCAAGTCAACCAAATCTAAAACACTGCAGTTAAAACTAAACACATTTCAAGATACAGAAGATCCTGAATTGGTAACTCCCTTATTGATCAGTTACATTTCTTATATTTTACAAGTAATCTACATATATCAAAAAAAAAAAGACTTTGCATTTAAGAATTACTTTTGATGATTATCAAAGCACCTGTAATAAAAAAGATAAAGGCCTTTTATTTGTACAACAGCAAGTAGAAAATTTGTAGACTTCATGTAATTTGCCTAAAGCCAACAGACCAATAAAGTCACTCACCTGCAAGTGCATATATTCCTTTAGAACAATCTTGGTTCTTTCCTGAAAAGTCACCACCCATAGTCTAAATTATAAAAAAATACATATATATAAGTATCACAGAATTGTAACTTACACATTTGTGACTTATTAGAAGTAATTTAGTTAAATATATATTATTCATTCAAAGAAATAGGTGGATGTGTAAAAGAAACACTTACATGGGTTTTTCCGCTGCCTGTTTGTCCATATGCAAAACATGTGGCCATTCCCCTTTCAAATACTGTCTCTACTAATGGTCGTGCCGTAAACCTTAAATGCAAAAGGAAAAAAAAAACAAAACCAAAAAAACTCACAGTATGTAAGAAGCTTTAAGATGCCACTACCACAAGGCCCCTATCCATTTTACCATCACAAAGAACATCTCCGAACTAATCCTGAACTACAAGCTACCAGTTTGAAGCCATTAGAATATCCTAAATGATTAAGCAAAAGCTACAAGATCTCTCCCATTGATTTTGAATATATATATACATATACATATACACACACACACACATATATATATACATATATATATATATAAAATCTCTTAAGGCCCAAGAAGAACATCCTTGTTTTAATGTGCAGTTCCCTAAACATAGCATTAGAAAATACAGAAGTAGGACAGTAGGACAGATAAACACTTAGAATTTGTCAATACAGAAATTCTACTTTTCAACTCAGCTTCCAAGTTTTACTTGAGGTGACAGTCTGCCAAAGTAGCATTACGCTTCTAAATACTCTAAGAACGTACATACACTGAAGAAAGGTTCCAAGAAAACATACACCCTAGCTCATAAGAAAATAAAAATACAGCGACTCCTAAAGGATTATTTGGCATGTTAGAGAATCACAGAGTATTGCTTTTCTATTTTAGAAAAATAATTTATTCTTAAAAAAGGCACTCCTAGTACTCCTACTCCAGCTGCTTATCACCACTATTTTATTAACATCTCCAAAAGCAAAAGGTAACTCTAACAGAGGAAGCATCAATAAATTTTCTTTTTGAACTTCTTCCCAATATTTGCACACTATATATGCTTAGTGACAGAAACAATGATGATTGTTTAGAAAAGAAAGGTGTTACAACCTCATCTCACGCTATTTAAAAATAAATATGAGATAGCTTACAGATATAATATGGAAAACACTGGCCGAGGAAGCCACTAAGGCTTATGCAAAATTTGAGTTTAACCAAATCATTTATTTTTAAAATAAATTTAAAGCAATCTATTCACTAAAAAAAAGCACAATACATTAAATCCATTTGAAGCCACTTAAACATAGATATTTTGGCAGTTTATAATTCCGGGGCTTAACTATACCTACTTTAAAATAAGGCAAAATACATTGCCTGTAGTTTTTAAATCAACAGACAGATCAGTTCAAACTCAGATGTGTTTTTCAGCACTACGGAAAACTTGCAACGCTGTGGTGATTCATGGATTCAGACATACTTACAACACATCTTAAGAAAAAAAAAGTAATAAAGAAAAAAAGAAAAAAAAAGGGCAGAGCACTTCTCCCTGTCATACTGAAGAAACAGCATTTTAGCATGCTGAAGAAAATGGAAATAACTTAACACCCACTGTAACCCTGAAATTCTGGTGAGAGTGTACTATGATTCCCATCTTGCTCTTAATCCTTGTAGTACTGAAGGTCTTAAAATGGATTATCCTTCAAGCAATAATCATCTCTGGGTCCTAATATGGCAGAAGAAAGAAGCCTGTACTACTACACAGACTTGACATTCACTCCTTCAGTATGGATACAAACGCCTTTTAGCATTTTCTTGTATTATCATGAACTATGCAATCAATAAAAATCATCCAGAAGAAATGCAGCACAAAAATACTATAAATCTTGAAGTGCAAAAACAAACAACAACAACAAAAATAACAAATCTGTAAGCAAAACAAAAAACAGCTTTCACAGTTAATCACTGTGTTTGCAACTATAAATGAGAAATAATAGGAAAGATGAAGATTAGGGGATTGGTTATTAAGCAGATACTATTCCAAAAGGCACATCACCAGCCAGATGGCTCTCCCACAGATTTTCCGTATTGAGAAAGAAAGGATGATAGAGGTAGAAAAATTGCAGAGAGCAATCTCTAAGGGCATAGTACTGCTGAAGTTTACTTCAGAAGACTCTCTAATAGCTAAACAGGCTTTCTTTTTGCTCTCTTTCCCATCCCAAGCATTAAACACCAATTTTGATTTTCAATGACTTCTTATAATTCTTTTATCAAGTATTTTCTCTTAGGGACAGACAAAACATTAGCCTCCAACATCCATCAGGAGACAAGACTGATTTTTACTTTTCTTTTTACTTTTTCTTTTACAAGATTCTTCTCTTCCATTCCTCTCTAAGGCTATGGAAAGCACTTCTCAAACATAATGAAGCTTATCTTAAAACAAATTCCTTCCTCAATCAACATTCTTTACAAAAAATTCACAGCATTTAGGCTGTGTATAAAGCTTTTAATTCTGTTTATATTTGCCTGCTACTGTTACCTACTTACTGACTTGGAACACACAGATAAAGAGCTTGTTCTAAACAAAATAACTCAATACTTGGTGGACTAATTTCAAAGCACCGTGTGCATTAGTCTGTGCCAACTGGGAGAGTGAAACAGAGGAATAAAAGAGAAAAAAATAGATCCAAATACCTTTGGGATGTCTGTCTTTTTTTTTTTTTTTTGGTATCAGAAAGATATAACTTTTTGAGTAAGATCAAACCTGCACTTGTTACCCTGTACACTTATGCTCCATCATCTAGATTGCTTCCAATAGCCAAACCTGCCCAAATGTCTCAGAAATACACTTTCTCCCCACCTTCTACTAATTTGTTTCCATCGGTTCTCTTTATCTTATATTAAAACTGCAAGCTCTGTGAAATTGGAACTGTCCTTTTGTTCCAAGTTTCTAGAAGACCCAAAATTGTAATTTTTGCAGGTGCTACATGGATAAAAACGGTGTCGCATGGATACAAAAACTGAGTAACTCTGAGTAAAACAGAGAGCCAATGAAGCTTCTCAAAAATTCAGTAGCTGAGATAATGGCAAACATTATACACTATAGTCCAGAAAGGCAGAACTGCTATACATTCAATACAAGTAGAGATGAGAATGCAGATGGAAAATTCAGTATAAATAGAGTTAAACCAAAAATACCCAGACAGAGGTATGGAGGTAGCAATACATATATCTCATGACATAGAGAAAAAGAGTGAAGTCCATGATCAAGATGAGCCCACAGTTATTGACATAGGAGATAAATGAGAAAAAAAGAATAATTTTCACAGAAAAAAGCATATACACATACCTGTAAACCATTTCATTAGGAGCCGTGTCATCAAAGGCATAATCAAAACGAAAAGTTTGGTTTTCTAGGTACCTTGTTAAATCCACCTTTTGTTTTGGTTCATGTACCATCACAACATCTTTACTAGGAATTGTTATTACATCAAGGTCTTTCATTAAAGTTTCTATAAAATAAGTGAAATATATATATATATATATATAACTAGCAACATTTTTACATATTTCATTGTTTACATCCTTATAACATCTAAGATAACACAGCTCCTCCAAATAACAACATTGCAATGGACCTGAGCTCCTGATACCTAGATAGCAATCTGCTAAGTATGAGGTTGTATTAGAAGTACTCCAAAGTTGATTAGAAAATGGACATCACTAATTACAGCACTATCACTGTAGATTGGAACATACTCTATAATAGCATACAATGGATTCTGCAATGGATTTGAGTCTTTTCCCTGTGGTTCATGTACTGTTCTACTGATTACTACCACACGCTTTGAGTTTTAGAAAAAAATGCTCTTCTGGAGACACTGGACTCTACAGCCTAATGCTGCTTGTACTGTCAAACTTAAAAACACAAAGAAATCAGCTTGCTCCCAAGATTTTTTTATTTTTAATTTTATACATTTTTAAGCTTTTTAAAAAATCCTCAAAACTAAAGTCTAATATTCAAAGCTTCCAAAAAGAACTATCTTCCCTGTATCCTAATATAGATTTTCCTTTGTAGATTACTGCTGA